TGATGATATTCCGAATACCTTCTACAAAATTAAGACAAAGTTTAACCCTATCGCGTCCATGAGCATTGATTTCGATGTGTACGCTAGTGGAATCTACGGACAGTATGCATTGATTTCAATGTGCTATTTCTTAGTTTGGCCGCGTAATTTCAGTCCCCATAAGGTTACCCCTAAGAGTTGAAAAGTATTACATATCAATTTGTTCAGCAATAAAATTCACAACAAAAAATTCGGCCATTATTTTTCCCCTGATCTTGCAAAGAGACGAGTTGACATTTAAATGATGTGGCTATTTCAATGATGTTCAATCAGTCATCCATTCCAGAAATCACAATCTACTGATGACATGGACGATGTGCCAACGAGCGAGCTGTTTCCGGTTAAAAAAGCACTTCGCTACAATAGGAAATCTGGCAAATACGACAAAATTTCACAATAGACGCCACACTCTTTCTGTTAGGATTAATGAATGTGCCAACTTCTATCATGAAGTTTTCTTGGCATTGTGATGATTCTGGTACATAGGTCATCTTCTTCCTAACGACATTCCAGACCTTAAACTTGGGTAATTGTAATACTTGCACGAAAATACAATGATATTAGAATGCAAGCAAATTGGTTGAGTGGGAAGTAGAAGTATGCTTGAAAGTTCCATTAGCAATGATGTAGATTATGCGGCAGATTTACGAGGTTAGAGGATAAAAGGATAAAGCTCTCGGCGTTGATCAATCCCTGTAGGATGCACCACGCATTCGACTTCATTAAGCATTGCTTGGAGGCGATTGAATGCATATCTAGCCTTTACGATGACTCGTGGTGGTCTACCGATGCATCGAGTCAGTGCTGCTGTCCTCCCTGACAAGTTTGGTACCAATTTTCCTACCCCGGAAGGATGGAAGGCTTAGTGAGCCATGGGCGCGAAGATCGATCCCATATGTGTTGAAGGGCGAGTCCGACCACTAGGCTATGCGCGCCTTGTGAGGGTATGGGAAGTAATTAGGAATAGTGCTTATGTAACAATGTTAGTATAACTACAACAGTGTAAGTATCTACACGACAACTGTGCGAGACTGCGATGGCGATAACGAGGATGCATAAGCAACGAAGAAGTCTGGTAACAAAGCATTAAATATGACAGTTCTCACATAACACAGGTGCATCAAAAGATATGGATGGATCTGGACGTGGTGGAATTGTAAACGATTTGATACGGCAACGATGACTTTCATAGAGTACTTAAAGAGCATGTAAGTTATGCTAGATTAACAGCCCATGGTTATAAAATGAGGATTGACGAAAACATTACTACGATGATGTTGCAAGAGCATGAGAAATTATCCTGACCTAAACAAGAAACCTTTTTCTGACCTAAGGAAATCGAAGGATTTATGAAGGGAGAAGGTTAGGTGGAAGGAGAACAAGGTGATGGGCAAGACCGGCAACGAACTTCACACCTCTCTTAAAGGCAACAGCTACTACTATTGGGTGTGCCCACCATCCTCACGAAGTGTTAAGGTCCAGAAATCAAACCATGAGGCCACTATGCAGTGTCGGACAGTTTAGAAGTATTAATGTAATGGAGCCCTGTGTCAAGTGACTCGATAAAGAATCGATTACATGACGAAAATATCACTTGTATCACCTGCAGCCCCGTTGGTCGTCGAGTGACTCGAACGGGCGCCAGTAAATCTTCCATTTTTCTCTGTCGCGTGGAAGAGTCGCCCAGTGGGTTCTGCTCGCTCTAGGGACTCGTCGAGCATCATATCTTTCTTCTAGGCTCTTTGTGAAGAACTTCGACCATCGGGTCGGTGGTCTTCCTGCAGTACGTTTGACATCCCGAGTAATCCAGTCACTAACGGCTGCTGTCCATCGGTTGTCATTAATACGCACTGCGTGTCCGGCACACCTCAACTTCGACGTTTGGCGTACAGAACGGCATCTTTAACTTTCGATTGTTGATGCAAGGTCGGAGCTTCGGGTCCCTTCCCTTACTTGTGTGAAACGGGATACTCCTAGCATCGTCTTTACGACAGCCCATTGAATAACGCTGAGTGATCTTTCATCCTGCTTACGCAGCGACCAAGTTTCTGACGCATACGTTAGGGCAGGAAGTACCTCTAAGTCTAAAAGGTGGGCCCGGAGCCGGGCGTTCTCTGTCTCCTTAAATACGTCCCCGATTCTCATGAAAACTCCCAAGCCGCTCGTTTTCTTCTGCACAACCCTGGAGCTAAGTCGTTTGTCATGTTGAAAGACCTGTCCTAGACAGACGTAACTGGAGTACTGGAGAGTACTCGTTCCGTTGAACGTGAGTGGGCATATGAAACCAATCCGTTCCCCACGAACATCGTTTTTGCGAGATTCAATCGAAGACCAATCTTTCCACAGGATTTATCGAAATCGGAAAGCATTCGTTCCGCTTGGCTAATGTTTAGTGTTATAAGGACGATGTCATGAGCAAAGCGAAGATGGTGTAACTGCCGACCATCGATTTTCACTCCCATATTATCCCATTCCAATGTTCGCGTAACGTTCTGCAGGGTGGCGGTAAATAATTTTGGTTAGATGGCGTCACCTTGCCTAACTCCTCTTTTGACGTCAATGTTAATATCGTTATAGAATGGTGATATCTTGGTTGTGAAATTTTTGTACAGCTCACGAAGAACCCTTATGTACTGAGTAAGGACTCCTTGACTATCACGGGCTTCCAAGACTGCTTCTATCTCAACTGAATCAAAGGCGTTCTGTAAATCGATGAAAGTGAGACAGAGCGGTCTTTTGTACTCTCGCGATACTTCAGTGAGTCTTGTTATTGTGTAGATGTGGCCCATCCTACTAATCCTTTCCGAAACCCAGCTTGCTCACATAACTGTCCTTCGTATAGTGTTCTGTCAATCCTGTTTAGGATGACTCGAGTGGAAAGTTTGCAGACGACAGCGAACAAGCAGATTGGACAATAGTTGCCAATATCGTGCAGGTCACCCTTCTTGAACAATAACACGGTCTTGCTGGTCTTCCACAGAGTAGAGACCCTAAATTCAAACAGGTAACGTGTGAAGAGCCGAGACAGTGTGTCTACGACGACTGGCGGAAAGTTCTTCAGGTGTTCTGGTCTTATCCTATCCGGATCTGGCACTGTTCGATTTTTTACCGACGAAATAGCATGTCGGATTTCGGAAGGAAGAACCGGTGGTGCAATATATCCTTCGTCCTTTATCTCATATGACGGAAGGTGAACGCGGCTATCGAAGAGATCCGAGTAGTACTCGTGAACGATTTTCTCCATTGCCTTTCTGGACGTTGTAACTGTTCCGCCTGGGCGTCGGAGTGAAAACATCTTGGTCTTATAATTGGTGAAGCTTCGGTGGTCTTTGCTTTTTCCTAGCCTCTGCATCCTCGACCATTACTGCTGAACTTCTCTCTTTAAGATCTTTTATCACCCCTCTGCATTGTTTTGCAAGTCCGGACGTTAGTTCGCGATTGCCTGCAGCTCGTGCGATTCCGCGTTGGCGTATCAGCTTGAGTGTTTCTGGAGACAGTAATCTCTTAGTGACTTTTGAACTCTCAGCTTTCATAGCGCTAACGTGAAGATGTTGAATGAGCCGATCGTATTCCTCGCGGATGTTATCGACAACGGCATCCTCCCAACAGCCGACTAATGAATTGAATAAGTCCCAGTTTGTGGTGGTTCTGGGACTTAAATTTAGCAGCTTTTAATGCTTCCCGCTAGAAATAGAATTTTGGACGAAGGCGATGGTGGTCTGATCCCCTGTAGAATTTTGGGACAACAGCGACATCGGTTAGGCAAAACCTTCTATTTACTATGACCTGGTTAGTTGGTTATCGTACTCTCCATCAGCAGACTTCTACGACCAGTGTTGAGGGTGGGGCTTCTGGAATTGCGAGTTACCATGGATTGTCTTGGTCGCCATGATAAATTCAGATGGCCGCTCACCCTGTTCCTTCCATTCCAATCCGTGGGTCCCAGTGTGACGTTCTTCTTGGTCCAATCTTGGCATTAAAACCTCGAATGATAACCTCGAAGAACGTATGGTCTTCTCTGTGGAACTTTTCCAGGTTCCTATAGAAAACCTCAACTTCTTCTTCGTCATAGTTTGATGTTGGCGCGTAAACAACGAAGGCTGTCAAAGCCGTTATTGATCCACATCTTTTTAATCGTAAACATCCGATTCGGGTTGTTAGTTGTTCGAATGAATCAACGTTCATGGACAAACCCGTGTTGACGAGAATGCCGACGCGACCGACGCCGCCGACTCCTCTATGTCGCATGTTTCGAGAAGGTTCTTCTCCGGTGTCATAGACGGCCTTGAAAGAGTGGCGTCGCTGAGCTTTGCGAATGTTTTTCCCAGCATCTGCAGCTTCGACCATAACTGCTGCTCTTCTCTCTTTAAGATCTTTTTTTTATCGCTTGTCTGCATTGTTTTGCAAGTTCGGACGTCAGTTCGCGGTTTTCTGCAACTGGCGCGATTCCACGCTGGCGTATCAGCTCCAGTGCTTCTGGAGACAGACATCTCTTGGTGACTTCAAATTCTCAGCTTTCATAGCGCTAACGAAAAAATGTTAAATGAGCCGATCGTATTCCTCGTCGATGTTATCGACAACGGCATCTGCCCAACAGCCGGCAAATGAATTGAATAAGTCCTAGTTTACGGTGGTTCTGGGAATTCGGTTTTTGAATTTAGCGGCTTTTTCTCCTTTCCGTGAGAAATAGAGTCTTGCGCGGAGACGGTGGTCTGGTCCGGTGTAGAATTTTGGGTCAACAGCGATATCGACTAGCAAACCATATTTACTATGATGTGGTCTATTTCGTTATGGTACTCTCCATTGAGGGACTCCTACGTCCAACGTTGAGGGTGGAGCTTCTGGAATTGCGAGTTACCATGGATGGTCTCGATCTCCATGATAAACTCAGATAACCGCTCACTCTGTTCGTTCCATTCCAATCCGTGGTTCCCAATGTGAAGTTCTTCAGAAGTTTTTCTTCATCCAGTCTTGGCATTGAAATCTCTAGTGATGAAATTGAAGAATGTATGGTCTTCTCTGTAGAACTTCTCCAAGTCCATATAGAACGCTTCGACTTCTTCTTTGTCATAGTTTGATGTTGGCGCGTAAACGACGAAGAGTGTCGAAGCCGGCATTGATCCACATCTTTTTAATCGTAAACGTCCGACTCGGGTTGTAAGCTGCTCAAATGAATCGATGTTCATAGACAAACTCGTGCTGACGAGAATGCCGACGCCGTCGACTTCTCTACTTGTCGTATCTTCCGAGAGACAGTTCTTCTCCGGTGTCATAGACGGCATTGAAAGGCTGGCGTCGTCTCTTCTTGGCCAGGCCGAAGACGTCGTACCTTATCCTCTTTGCTTGCATGAGCAAGTCTTCTATCGAGGACTTAGATGCAAGTGTACGTGCATTGCAGTTACAGATCGTCAACTTATTTCTTCGTGATTCAGGCAGCTTCCATTGGTCCTGAGATTTTACAGCCTCTCCGTACTCGTCCTACTCAACGCTGCCGAATTGGGAGCTCTTTCAGGGTCAGGGGAATCGTTTCTTTTATCGCTTTTAGCTTTTTGATACCTACGTACACTTGCTGGGTTCTGAACGTGGGGGTCTGGTATACTCACGGGTAGCTTGCCAGGCTCTTCCAGAGTGGACATGGAGCTTATTTGTTGGAGGCGACCCCTAACCGCCTCCCATATACTTCCGTGTCACTTGATAGCAGGCTTTTGGCAGAATTGACTCGTAGAATACAATCCGCATAAACTAGAACGCACCCATACACGCATGCATGAATGCACTTCGCAAATAAAGATAGTATGTGCCAAATCGGTGCAGCAGAAGCAGGGAGTCCATCCCCTGGATTCACCTGCGTCTCAGGGAAGCAAAGGTCGTCTTTGGTCAGCAACTAACCCCCTATCCGCTACTTAGGGACGCGCCACATAGCATCGCGACTAACCGGCTCGAAATCCCTCATATGAGGGAGATCCGTGAATCTTCTCTATAACTTCATCTATGTTTCGGATTAAAAGCACCATAAATATAACAGCGGTAGTATTAATACGGGATGGAAATGGTAATGTAGAAAGTCTGAATAGACTGTAGATGAGCTAAACACGGTCAAATATTCACAGGAAAACTGGAATACCTAGCATGAAAGCTCATATGCATGAAGAAGTGGTTGGTTGCATTTTTGCTGAAATAAAACTTGATGGTATCTACCGATATGTTCTTTCTTTCCCAAAAAAAATTGGCACCAATTTGCCAATCTCGCAAAAGTAGAGGAAATCGAGGCACCTGGTAGAACCACATAACACGGTCCATGCGCAGCGCCCCTCTAGCCACTGCTCTACCAGGGCTCTATGGATGGCACCCAGCGATATGTTATGGTAGATGCCGAAGCGGATTAATTTTGATGTAACTTTGATGTCCAATTCGAATGTACGTCCGTTTTATTTCAGAAAGCATTGTCCCATCGTCCTTTGTAATTCACTTGTAATTCAAGGATTCAATTTTGCCTACGGCTTGTTACCGTTGAAGTCACCAATGACAGCGTGATAGATGAGCAGAGTATTTTCTGCAGAACTTCGCCCCATATTCTTATTTTTAACGCTTTGACCACATCTTAGTCATAGCTTGGTGTTGGAACGTAAACGAAGAAGGTTGTCAAAGTCTCTTAAACTGTAAATATCCGATTCAGGTTGTTCAAAGGATCGATTTTCACTAGGTCCTTTCGAAACGACGCTGATTTTCCGACAGACGACAATAATTTTTCGGCAGGCAAGTATTGCATTCCTAGGGGGCGCATAGCACACAGTGGTATTGATGCCGTTCATCACGAGCACAGCGCTGGTTCGATCCCGCACCGGATCCAACAAGCCCTCATCCCTCCGCGGTCAGGATATTGTTACCTTGGACTCCACGTGTTTGGAACTCTATAGATTCATAGAAGAGATATTGCTTTATTGGACTGATCGAATATATAATCCTCATCCAGTGCTCTTTGAAGTTCAAACATGTTTACAATCAGGATTTCGAAAAAATCGAAAATGAAAGTTAAAGTTTTAAAATTTGCAACGCAAAAGTGACACTTTCAAATATCAACGATAAAAAGAATAAAAAGGATAAAGCTCTCGGCGTTGATCAATCCCTATGGGATGCGCCATGCATTCGACTTCATTGAGTATCGTTTGAGGTGATTGAATGCATATCTGGCTTCTACAATGACTCGTGGTGGCCTACCAACGTATCGAGCCAGTGCTGCTATCCTCGCAGACAAGTTTCGTACCAATTTACCGACTCCGGAGGGATGGAAGACTTGATGAGCCATGGGCGCTGGGATCGATTCTACGTGTGTGTTGCAGTGGTGCCTCCAACCACTGCGCCACACGCACCTTTTTCTTCAACGATACATTATTAAACATCATCGTGCCGTGCTAGACGAAATCCCCTTTGCTCATCCACCTTCGAGATCGAAAGCAAAGGTTTGAAGCAAAAAAAATGAAAGGAATACATGTTATGACCACCACATAATTCGAATTTGACCCTTAAAGAATAAGACATCATCTACTTTAGTGGAAGAGATCTGTAGATTCGGACTGTTTTTGTTGAAATCACTAGAATTATCTATGAGCTGAGAGGCGTTGATTTAAAATTGGAAGCGGCCATTATTTTCGCACCGTATGATTCCTACAAAGGTCACGTCGTCCACTAAGAACACCAACGCCGCCGACTATTCTGCTACGGAATGGTTCTTCCAATTAACACAAAAAACGCTAAGTGGGTGGTGCCATATCGTCTCGGCCAGTCCGATGATGTAGCACATAGTTTTCCTAGCTTGGATCATGGGATTTCCAATAGAGAATTCGGAAGCTAATTTGATAGTCATCATTCTTCTTCCACATATAAGCAATCCACAATGTCATTGAGATTTTACCAATCTCTCCGTACTCGTCCTACCCGACACTGTTGCGTCAGTGACTCTTCGGGGTGGGAAAAGGTGTACCGTTTTCACCGGTTTTTCTCCTTATCATCATACCCTTACCATATTATCATAAAATATTGTTATAGGAGAGTTTAGGAGATATACATCTGGCCTATAAAAATACATGCGGTGGCCTACCGATGTATCAAATCAGTGCTGCCGCCCAATAATGAGCACCTACTTGGATTATCACGGAAATATTGTCACGCTATGTACTAGATGATAATGATACCAACTGCTGCAGGATGGATTGTCCGGAGAAAACAAGTTGTTAAAACCGGACAGTCTGTATTTTCAAGAACCATTTTGTGTAAAAGGGCATCCCCGAGTGAGGTTCAGCCATTCGAGCAGTGGTCCAACGAATTCGCCTTGATGCGTTCACAAAGACCCACATCGTAGGAGGAACAACTGTGGACGACTGACTCGGATCCATCCGGCTCTGACTAAGGTGAGGGTGCTAAAACGTTAGCCGAATAATGGTTTTGTCAATCTTGTGTCACCTTATCAACGAAAAAACGTAACATATTGTACTACTACCGTTCTGGAGATTTTGACCTATGACGTTTTCAATCTTTGTTCTGTATACAGCATCTAGAAGCGCAGGACAGATTTTGATTCTATAGGGTCTTAAGCCTAACAACTTACTCTCGAACGCCGGTCGAATCAAGCTAGCTGATTTCGGCGTCACTAGATTTTTTGGTTCACCAAACAACGTCTGTACTCATCGGATAGTCCTTTCTTTCATTGCTCATTAAATTAGTATTTCAGGTGACAATCATGCTAGTACAGCGGAGCCTCCTCTCTCAACATGTCGCTCTTGAGAGGACTGGGAAATGTGTAGAGCTACGTGACAGAGGTACTATGCATTTACCAAATCCCACAACCAACATCCATTCCGTCTCGAGGTCCATCAACTTTAAGAATGTGTGGTTGTCACCAATGGAAAACTCTGTGCGTCTTGTTTCCAGTAATAACTGGAGAACTTGAGAATAACGAAACGGTGAACGTTTAGTTGTTCGTTCAGCAGATACACATTTCTATAACGTTTTGTCCGCAGAGTTTGTGATAATGTTAGACTAAGTGGACTGCGTGCCAATGTGACCCTTGCAGGCTCTGAAAACGGAGAAACTGAGGAACCATCAGCTGCTTTGTACTGAGTAAGTCTTCCTGTTAACAACCTCGTGCTTGCTCATCAAGAAAATGGTGAATTATGAATTTAATGTTGTTTTCCGATTGTTCAATGCCCTTTGTTGGTTGAGTGAGAGGTAATTACGTGTTTGTGCTGAAGATTATGAAATAAATGGTCTTATACTAATCTGATTGTATTAAGCCTTCATATTTTCTTCTCTTCTGTAAAAGGGATAAAGCTCTTGGCGTTGATCAATCCCTGAGGGATGCGCCATGCATTTGACTTCATTAAATATCGTTTGGAGATGATTGGATGCATATGTGGCCTTTACAATGACCGGTGGCCCACCGTTGCATCGAGCCAGTGCTGCTATCCTCCCGGACTGGTGCCAGTTTGCTGACTCAGAAAGGGTGGAAGGCTTGGTGAGCCACGGGTGCCGGGACCGATCCCCTGTGTGTGTTGCAGGGCGCCTCGGACCACTGCGCCCCACGCGCTCTTCTGCACTAGCAGATAATACAGTGCTAATGCATCAAATCCCTCGTGTTGTTTTCCGAAACGAAAACGATTCATACGAGCAGGCTACATTCCAGGATGATCGCTTGTGAACGCCGTAGTAGTGTTATTCCCTGAATGGAGGAAAAGTGACGTTCGATAATGTATCACTTCAACACGTCTTTGAGGATAGTACGCTCCATGTGCTCAAAGCCAACTTCTCGCAGCAAGTAAACCACTTCTATGGTTACGAGATAATGAAACAAATGAAGAAAGTTTCACAAATGCTCTCGGGACGGGTCACTACAGCGAAGTAGTGAATATCCCAATATTTTAAGATCATGCGACTGGTGAACAGGACAACTGAACCATTCAGTACTCACATTAGCACGCACTAACACAACAAATACCTGATATTGATCGAAAAACATGAGGTGTCTTCTCCCACCAATGGTATGTTATTCAGTTCGGTTTCGCTCAGTGCAACCAAAGCGCTGATCTACGTGGGACTAATTTGAGAAACTGTGAAAGTTTCATATGATAGTATAAGTGGTTTTGAGCATTATTTTCAAAAATATCAGTGAAAAACTTTGAGAGTGAGAATTGCGAATGGTTTCCAAACATGAAACGCGACAAATCACCACGGTGATAAACTATTTGGTTGATGACCAGCGCTTTCCGGACGTACATATGTACATATATGTATATATGTATATATACATATACATCTATGCATATGTATGTACACTTACTGGGATACTTGGACTGCCCATCCTCACTGGATGTGAGGGTCCCAACATAATCTTCAATTTTACGGAGTTTTGCTGCTTTAGCCACAGTGGTTCCCTGGAGCCCCGAGGTCAGCCTAGCCAAAACCTGCCCCAGGTCGTCACCACCACAGGTAGTCGCCGTACTTGTGGATCAGAGGGAGATTTACCATCATGCGACTTTGATACCAAGACGGTGGTGGATCCTGGTATTGGTATTGGTTTACTCTTAGCTAGACTTCCTGATGGAAACGGCGGACTCCTCCTCAGCCTGGGAGACCGTGCCGGTGGGACGAATTTCCCGCTGTACATCGCAGTCCGACACCCAGAAACACCTCCCGGCCGCCACAATGAGGCGGTAAACGCTGAACCCTTGGAATTATGTATATACTCCGATCTATGTGAGAGTAGCAAGGGTACATACATATATATGCCTATATATATGCACGTATACATATATCCTTATATCCTTGGAGATGAATATTTCCTTGTATACCGCATTTATTTCCTTGTACACAGTGTATTTTCGAAATGTCGTATTTTAGGGTGCCTCGGCGCGAAAGCGGCTCTTCCCACAGGGTGCTTTTTCGTTAATTATTAAGTGTAGATAATGAATTTCTTGGTCTCGCCCCTACTATTTCGATCTGCTTCCGATTACCAATCGAATGGATACACACAGTAGGGCAAACACGAAAATGAACTCTAAAATGCACTAAGCTGAAGATGGATACTATAGTGTTCATACCGCCTTCTGGTGCAAACGGCTACGGACACTCTGACGTCCACATGACTCACAATGGTTTAAAAACAATTTTTCTTCTACTTGGAAAGTTGCCGTGTGACCATTTTGTGGTGCGTGTAATACACTCAATTGGCTGCTACAGTAAGCATTTAATAACGTGAATCCAAACTAGAATAGGATATCGTTCTTTATCTCTCGTGGATTTCACCGATGTTATGGATGAGGATAACGACGACGTAATTGAGGCTACTGAAGCATTGGAAACGGCTTGCTGCTTAAACAGAGCACCAGAGATCCCTCCTGGTCTGGAGTCAACGAGCTCTTCATGTAAGTCATTCTTTTTTGGTTTATCCCCCTCTCTTTCTTTTCTACCTGTATATTTTGCTATGTCTTTCTTTTCTGACGTCTCAGTCGTCAGTGTGATTTCTTATTAAGAATGCTTTCACACCAAATTCTAGGTCATATTGCAAGGAGATGAGCTTTCAATAGCAATCTACTCTTTTGTTATAGCTGGGCAACCTAATACTCCATCATTTCATCCAGCGGATGTTGAACGGGTTATACAACGATATGGACAGCTTATTGAGAAATTCCAGGTGTTTCGTCCTTTGAGTTGTTGCAATTGATTGATCTATGAGTTTTGATTGATTTCAGTTCAATCAGGCTCGAGAAGCCATAGAACAATACATGCAATCAACTTCAAAGCCTGTAGTGATTACTAACGAGAAGGATGTCTCCTGGTCTGCTCTTCTTTCTTCACTAGCTTTAGTAAGCATCTCTTCTTCCTTTTCTCCTTTCTTTTTTTCTTCCTTTTTCCTTTTTCTCCCAAATGGTTTATTTATTAGGTTTTGTAATGTGTTTGTATGAACGACTTGGATACTTGGATAGCTCGGCTTCACTGGATGTGTAGGAACTAACGTAATTTTTTTTCGGAGATTTGCTAGTTTAGTCACTTTGGCTCCCTGGAGTCCTGAGGTCAGCTTGGCCAAAATCTGACCTAAGTCCTAACCATCACAGGCACTCACCGCCCTTGTGTATAAGAGGGAGGTATACCACCATATGACTAGTTTGGTACCAGGACGGCGACGAATTCTGGTGCTTGTTTACTCTTAGCTGGGTTTCCTGGTGGAAACGCCGAACTTTCCAGCTTGGGAAACCCTGCTGGGGAATGAATAGGAGGATCTAAATTTGTTACTGTTTAGAATTTACCTTGAACCATTAGATCAGTAATGTTACCTTTGAAAGTATTTTCCATTCCTATTGTTATTCTCCACATCGTTTTCGAATATTCCAGATTGCGAACTGTGACAAGAATTACTATCTCCTCTCATTTCTTCAACCTAAGGCGTTCTTTCGAAAAGAAAATGCTCTTAAGAATCAGTACTACCAAATAAGGTATATCCTTCTTCAGCCTTCATTTATAGTTTAGATGCCGAATTCTACGATTGCAATTCATATTTGCTAATTCAGCGAAAACTTGATGCGAGCCTCTCCTTCAGCTTCTGTTCCTGATAGCAGTGCTACTAACTTAGCACTTGCAGATTATCTCATCGTCCAGTGCAGGCAATATGTTCTGGCTCGTGTGAAGATGATAAATATCTATACTACGTTAGCAAGTCTTGGTACGTTCAGTAACATCGATATAAAACTACTTCTTGGTGTGCAACTTGAGCAGCGGTGGCGCAGTGGTCAGAGGAGCCCTGAAATAAATATGGGATCTATCCTCGCTCCCATGGCCCAGCAAACCTTTCGCCCCTCCGAGGGTCGGTAAATTAGTGCCAGACTTGTCTGGGAGGATAGCTGCATTAGCTCGATGCATCAGTAAGCCACCGAGAGTCATTTTAAAAGTTAGATATGGATTCTGTCGCCTCCAGCGATGTTTTATGAAGTCAAATGCATGGCGCATCCCTCAGTGATTGATCAACAGCGAAAGCCTTATCTTGTATTGATAAAGCATATGCAGAAAAAATGAAATTTAGTATTTACCGTTTACGCTTGATCGCATGCAAACGTTTATTAGTGTTCCTGCGTTTATATGTATGGGGTGTTCTGCATCGATTCGGCAGAAAAATCACAGCTCTCAAAGCAAGAAGCCTCACATGCATCCTAAGAGATTCGACCCAAGTATCCGTAAGTATACCCATTCAACCATAGTAATTGTTGGCTAGCTAATCATAGGTTACTTACTTGATACTCCCATCATAATCACCATTTTTCGGAGTTCTGTTGGTTAAGCCATTGTGGTTCCCTGGAGTCTCGAGGTCAGCCTGGCCAAATTCTGCCCCAGGTCTTCACCACCACGGGCAGTCACAGCCCTTGTGGATCAAAGGGAGTTTAATACTAGGACGGTGGTGGATCCTGCTACTGGTTTACTCTTAGCTAGGCTTCCTAATGGAAACGCCGGACTCATTCTGAGCTTGGGAGACCGTGCCAGAGGATGAATCCCTCCGCTGCACATCGCAGTCTCACACCCAGGAACACCTCCCAGCTACGATGAGGTGGTAAACCGTTGGGAGGTACTCATGGGTTGGTCTGACTAAAAGTGGACTTTAGGTGAAGAGAAGGGTGCATTTCGAATGGGTGGGTGAGAGCCGACAGATACAAGTGGAGGCTTTACTTGTTTGTGTGTGTTCGAGTTAGGTTGCATCCTCTAGGGTACTTCAATAACCTCATCCAGCTTGTGGTCTGCGTTTTGTGTGCATCTACCTATGTGTTAGAAAAAGGCTGTAAATTTCGTATTTAGGGTTTTTCTTCGAACAAATTTTTTTTCGCAGTGTTTGCTTAATAGGTCCGGATCATCACTCGTGTCGTCCATTCATATTTTAATAACGACTTGTTGAGATTTGCCTCGTTCAACAATTCTTAATCGAAATAGAATCTTAGTGGCTTACTGAAACCTTTTCCATGGTTCCTCCTCTTTTCCAGTAACGTTAAATATGTTTTCTGAAGTCCTTTGAGATGAATCGAGGAGAGGATCACAGAACTAGTTGTTTTCATAGTGACGAATCAGATCCTTCAGTTTTTTTAAGTTTGAATGTGTCAGTGTTTAAGGCTTTGTTCTGTAAATGCCTCATAAGTTGATCCAGTTCGAAAGTGAGTCAAAAGTTCCTCACCGATTTGGATTCACCATCCGTTCAGAGGCGACGTGCTGACTGATGATGAACTAAACTCTACCGCTTTATTATTACCTTTCACGCTAAAGATTTGGTTATATGTTTATAAAATACGACGCGATTTGACGTCATTTTATTGTATTGCAGCAAATGATAGAGAAATTCTATGGGAATCAATACATGCACGTGGAGTACGGATAACAGAAATGTTGCAGTCATCCCAGAAACACTCTCTGTTTTCTATGGTTCATCTACTTTCCGGGGAAATTGCTGTACTGCTTCTGCTAGTCTCTGCTCAAATTCACATTTCAAATTGCAAGGTATTAATTTGAAGTGCCATGAATGAAAGCAAAAACGGGCCACACTATTTGTATATTCCTTTCTATCTTACTCTCCAGAACACTGTTCCAGATGTTCGAAAGTCTCTTGCAGTTAAAAGAAATTCGGGAACGATTCGACTTTTGGGTGCGAGATTCTCACTGCTTGAACTCTGTGAACAAATCTGTCTTTTACTTCTTCAGGTGCGATTTGTAACGAAAATCTTCGAGTTTTCCTTTCCCCAAAATTTCTAATAGCATCCTTTCACTCTTAAAGCTTTATAGTCAAAAGACATTACTTCATGTCTATCCTACAAATTACGTTTAGGTCAACAGAGAAGCTACCAAGGAATCGCCTTATAAATTGGTTTGTTCAGTTCTACAATCTTCTAATGGCAAAATTCTCCTTGTACTTCACAAACGTACTTGCGAATTTTTGTAGTGTAGACGACTTGAAAGTGAGCTCACCAAGTAGGTGCTAAGGCCACGAATTTTCATGACACAGTGCTTGTTTTTAGAACATTTATACAATTGACAACGGGTACAACTTTATATCAAACGCTACTCAACTTGTGAAGAAAACCGATGCCGTGTGTCTCGCAATAGTTATGGATCGTGAGAACTTCACAGAGAACTTCTATGGTCTGTTTTCCTCAACTCTAGCGTTTTAAAAACAGTAAATGGATGTGTTGGAGTGTTCAATTCTTTTTGTTTAACTACCTATGGACACTATTCAGAAATATTCTTCTAGGATTCGGCTATCATCGTTTAAAAGACCGTTTCACTCCCGGTGCACCAACAGAACCGCGAAAGGGGCTAGCAGCACTTTGTCCAGCAGTATTTCGACTTCCTTCTCCAACAGATGGACACAAATCGGTGAGAATAAATCGAAATCAACGTTCAAATAAAGAGAGGCTACTGGTTTACCCAAGAATACGAATTTAGGCACAATCACACGATGTGTTTGAAAAATACCACGGATACATTTATGAATTTATTCAGTCGAATCTTCGCCAACCGTCAAAAAGCCGATATTTCTATGATGCTGAAAAGGACCATGTAAGCTTCATATGCATATTTTACACTGGATCCGCACTTGATACTTGACATTATTTTCTGTACTGTTCTAGCGGATCGTCATCGATACCGCAATTCATTTGGGACAAAGCATATCGAGATTCCTTTCATTTTGTCACTGAAAAATTCTGCTTTCTAAATTACTCCCAGTAAAATTATTTCAATGAGTGTAAACGTTCTAAGATGGTGAAGAATGAGAAAAGTTACGCTACACTGAAGTTAGTGTTTTCAGTGCATGTTTGGAGATATAGTTGAGGCCAAACTGTACCTCGTCGTGGTGTGTCTAGGACGAGTCTGCGAGAAGGATGTGACCATCATGTCGTTTATACAGAATATGACCACATCACTAAGGGGATCAAGCCTGTTTTTGTCGTTGAAGAATGCAGCCAAATAGCTTCTTTGTTGCCAGAATTTCTCATGGGTATTGTGATATCTTAAGCAGCTCTTGTATATTTGGATTTTCTGCAGCTTTCAACTTGGTAGGAATTTATGAAGTCGTCGTCACGATAAATCTTTTTATTTTCAGTGTTATTTTATAACACCTTACAATTTAATGGCTGACATTTACAGTATTTGAAAAATGGCTGACTAGTCCTCGAGCGACATCTCACCATAGCCTAGTCAAACTTGAAGAACTTCATAGAGTTTTTGACTTAGTTCACGATCTTCCGTCAGTGTTTTCTTTATCGTAAGTAGTTTTGAGTCGATTCGTTTAATCTCATACTGTAATGTAGCCAATTCGCAGATAATCTGCAATGAAACAAGTCAATGGGTTCGTCAAATGAAGTTCATTCTTGTTCAATAATTCACCTGTAAAGCTGACTGCATGGTCTTTCTTGCTTCCTTAGCTGATGATGGTTCAAGAATGCCGAACGGTCGAAACCTCGGGATCTCAGGCTTTGGCTTCTCTTGCTCACTGTTTGCATCGAAACTCTCTGCTTTACGACTACGAATCTAAACACATTTCGTAGACTTTAGTCGAGGTCGATGAAGCCGGGAAACGAAAGCACCGTGCTACTGCCTTCCTCTTCATCCTTCATTTGTGACTCATCGAATAGCCTGAACTTCCCTTCTTTGTAGAGAACTCTGAATAATTGGCTTTCAGCTTCTTTTCTATTAGTCCTTGATTCAAAGATGCTACCCACATAGAGTCACTATAGCACTAAATTCGAAAAAGAAAACGAAAAAAGACAAAGATTTTGTGATGAGGTGTCCCATGTTCATACCTTGCTGTCGGTTCCAATGATTGAACATTGACATTGTAGAGCGATGTGAAAGACAATTCTCGTACTGTTCTTAACAATGGATCACTCCAGATAATGATAACCCTCTTCAATTCTGTTGATAAAGTGTTTGTAACGAAATTACCGTGCTTTTGTTATTTCACTTCTTGCCAAAATCAAACGATCCTCCAGTTGTTTCGCAAGATTACAGTAGTCGGCAACATATTCCAACCGTTCGAAAGAGAGTGAATTCAGCTCCTCCATGTCAAATACCACTGAATGTTTGTATACTAATAGTGGGTGGCAGGCGAAATAAAGTGATGCAATGAGGGAATAAGTGCTCAAATGTTAAGATAAAGCCTTAGAAACGCAGAAAGGCACAGTAGAACACAATTCAACGTAGTATAGGAACAAGATCCTATGATTCAAAATTGTGAAAGGGCTCGAACATAGAACTTACTAAGATGAGGAAGTAAGCTAGGGCAAACTGTCCACTTTATAGCGTGACAGAACCATGTGATGTGTCCCTTATCAGTGACCGATAACAGGAAGTAGTGATGATGGCCATCGCTTGTCAACCGCACCTTATCCCTTGCTGAAATCTATTCCAGAATATACTGAGTTAAATCCGAGTGGCTCGTCACCGCTATGTTCCCAGAACTTCTGTTCACTTCACACATATGTTATTTCCTTATTTTATTTTATACGACCTGTCCTTCACATCTACTGTGCGGATCACAGCGCTTCCCACACACGATTCGTTGCCTCGCATTCACCATCCACTAAGGTCTTTCAACCTCTACGTGTAGCTTTGGCTGCTGCTTGAGAATTTTCATATCATCTTGGATGTCGCAGAATGCTGATCGAGTTGATTCTTCCTATAGTTCTGAGATAGCCGAGCTAGAGCGTTCCCACCTGGATTGCAGAGAGTGATTTTCCCCGGACAAGTCCACTGCCAATTTCTCGACCACGGAGGGATGAGGGGTTTGGTGAGCCAGAAGCGGGATCAAGCCATCGCTGATGAACGGCATCACTACCACTATCTATCACCCTCATACGTGTGTAACACGACATGAATCCAAAATAAAAAATAGACCTATCATATCAATTTGTACAGGTCCGATTACTAGTAGATATTTGTACTTATCGTAAAACACCATCGATATTTTCGAGCAGGTACCTTCGTTTCGAATTCCGTTTAAAAAGTTTGTCAACATTTCTTTCTGTCTTTCTAAAGCCTTAACGTCTCATTGAAACATAGCAACATAGAGATATGACTTTATTTTCCTACCAGTAAAATAGAGATATAGGATTTCGCATTCCTTGATATGTTTCCAGTCATCAATGAATATATTGGCTAATTATGTGTCTCTCCCAACGATTTACTGCCTCATCGTGGCTGGGACGTGTTCCTGAGTGTCGGGCTGCGATGTATAGCGAAGGGGTTCATCCTCTCCACAGGGTCTCCCAAGATGAGAAGGAATCCGGCATTTCCATCAGGGAGCTCAACTAAGAGCAAAGCAATACTAGGATCCAAGTACTGGGATACTTGGATGGCCCGTCTTCAGTGGTTGTGCGGGCTCCAGCATTATTTACATTTTTTCGTAGTTTTGCTGGTTTAGCCATTGTAGCCACCTGGACTCCCGAGGTCTGCCTAGCCAAAGTCTGCCCCAGGTCGTCACCACCACAAACAGTTGCAGCCTTTGTGGATCAGATCGAGATTTGTCACCATGGCACTAATCTGATACCAGGACGGTGGTCGACCCTGGTATTGGTTTACTCTTAGCTAGGCTTTTTGATGAAAGGCCAGACTCCTCAGTTTGGTAGACCCTGTCGGAGGGATGAATCCCCCCGCTGTGCATTACAGCCCAGTACCCAGGAACACCTCCTAGCCACGATGAGGCAATAAACCGTTGGGAGGATTCAAGCAGAAAAGAAAAACACAAAAAGGACTCGAAGAACAAAGACCAACCACTGTGACAGAAGGGAGAGCTCAGTCTGCATATTCACACGGATTAATTACTAACTGAAATCCTTACTAATTTTCAAACTCTGTCGAATAACTGATTAATCTAAGTAGCCTGCTTTGCAAGAAATAACCTATCGTAATGACCTCGACATAACTAGTGCGAAACTATTTATGCTTTTTAATTCAATGTATTTAAGCAGTCAAGCACTTAGAAATGAGGATCGCAGCAAGTAGAAAAGAAAAACACAAAGATGAATCAAAGAACAAAGACCCACCCACAGACTCTTTCCAATAAACGCTTTAAAATACGATTTAAAGGACCAATAAGCAGTTAAAGACTACTCAAGACTAAAGAAAAGCTAAGTTGGATGTATTTCTCTTCGTTTGTCCCAGATGTCAGTCAACTCACTTGCAGTAAAGAAGAATCGAGACAGTACCAACTTCCTCCACTACAATTCTACGATGCTTGAAACAAAAAGCAAAACGATTCGACGTTCATACTCAATACAAAGCAATAGACAGACCAAAAAAACAAACAAACAAATGGAAAACTCAGTACAAACCTCAAATACAACTCGAAAATACGAATAAAAGGTAGTAATTTCCCCCAAGGTCCAGATCGGTGCTGTCCTAGCAACATTTTCGTTCTTGTTACACATACAGTAGAGCGTCAGTTTGTGTAGTTGCGTCCGCACTAAGCAATTTTTCTTCTTGGAGCAGTGGTGGCATAGTTATGTGTATGTTTCGGCAAATATGGCATTGTTCCTTGTATTATTTGACCCTTTTAGAATCATGCGCATTGAGTTTAATACTAAAAGAGAAGTCGTTTTGGATGTTGAGAAATATTTATTCTTTACCTATAAATATGTAGAAAGCCGTTCTTTGAATGAGTTTATTGGTTGCTAGTTTGGCCAATAATCGATTTGTTTCATTTTCAATCAATATATTGATTCTTAGCTATCGTATAGAATGGGCGGGTATAAAAAATATGGAACTGTACTCATCACGAGCTCCAAAATTTTCCAAATTATGACGACGATATGTTTGTACGACGAACGACAGGAGCACATAGCTTGAAACTATTCATATCTTGTACAGCGAGAATCTCCTCTATAATTTTTTGATGTTCTTAGCCTCTTATGTCCCCTAGTTATCGAAAGAAGCCATGCTATTCGATCCGTTGGTCCTTCTAGACATCCGATATTATCTTTGAAGAATGATCGATTGGTTGACGCAAGATTATCTGCTGCTACTAACTTATGCGTTTTTATAAGCAAGTGGAAGACGGGATATATTGATCGGTCCACTTTGAAGTTCAAAGTAACGGATGACTTTAAACCTGCCACCTTAAAACTAATGCTTAATCCCGGAAAAGCAGTACTCCCGTGGAAAAATCTATCCCTTCCATGTGGCAGAAACGCTAAAAGCCGCTTGGTGTTACATTACTTGTTTCTGTATTTATTTATTAGTTTTATTATATCATGTATATTTGACAGTCCGCCGTTAGAACAATTTGATTCTTGACTTCATCACTTAAAAAGCTCTTTGGCTGACTAGAATGCACAGTACTTAGGGTTAACATAGCACAAAATGAGGTTATCAAGTTAAAAGTTAGTAAATTCATCTTTTACCAATATACTTGAAGGTAACTTTGCCTACGTTGAACCCTAAAACCTTTTGTGTTTAGGTCAAATACGGACTTAGCAGCTTTTTGAGTTGTTCCTCATAGCTCGTGTTCTAAAATCATTCAAAGGGTTTTTCTGACCGTTTTGTCGTTTTGTCATAATTTCATCTTACATCCATTGGCTTACTTTTTACTTTTTTTTCACTTTTTTCGTACTTTTCTTGACTTTTCTCTGTTGGAATTTGTCCACTTTAGTGCTGTAGACAATTTCGTTCCTTCTTATCATCATCTCATCTTATTGAGATATTTTTCGTTCTATTGTTCAGGGGAATGGACGGCTACCCTCTAATAGATATACGACGTCCTCCAGACATTGCTGAACCGGATACGATTCATGAAAGTCTTCGAATATTCCGGCTTATTGCAGTGAGAGTGTTAGGAACAATACTAAGACTTCCTGGATTGATTCTGTTGGAGTTATGGTGGAGAAATCGTGATATCAACATTGAGGAAGTGGCCCAAGAAATGCTGACTAAAGTAGTCCTTGTATTTCTTCTTATTTCTAAAACCACTAAGATTTTAGTCTTATTAATGTAACATTAAAGGCACCTTTCAATTCATGTCTTGATATCTCCACCATTTTGGCTTTTGTGCACACAAGGAACTTCGACAATTCGGCGGCAATCATCTTGAGCTATTCAGGTTTGTGTTGGTATGACAATTATATTTATCTATTTTCCTTCATGTCTTCTCACGAGGGCACACGTAGCGCAGTGGTTGGAGTCGCTCTGCAGTACACATGGGATCGTTCCCCGTGCCCATGGCTCACCAAGCCTTCCATCCATCCGCAGTCGGCAGATTGGTTCCAGACTTCTCTCTTGGAGAATAGCAGCACTGATTCGATACATCGGTAGGCCACCGCGGGCCTTATAAAGGCCAGATATGCATTGAATCATCTCCAGCGATGCTTAATAAAGTTGAATGCATGGCGCATCCTTCAGGGATTGACCAACGCTGACAACTTTATCATTTATCCTTTATGTTCTTACAAACTGCCCTTGTTGAGCTGGTCGGAGCTTAGCAAAGGAGTAGGCCCAATGGCAACAGCACGGCTCTGAGGAAGGCGAAATCGCGGGAACGTCGACCGTCGAACAAAACGACAACAACAACAACGATAGTTTTTACCAGCTTTGCATCAGCTCAACAAGCGCAGTTCGTAAAAGCTCTAAAAGCTTTCGGCGTTTTTCAATCCCTGAGGGATGCGCCATGCATTCAACCTCGTTGAGTATCGTTGGAGGTGATTGTATGCATATCTGGTCTTTACAATGACTCACGGTTTCCTAACAAACCAGAGCTGCTATCCTTTAAGGCAAATGTGGTACCTGGAGAGATAGAGAGCTTGGTGGTTCTGTGGTGCGTGAATCGTCCCCATATGTAGTGTAGGGCGCTTCCGACCACTGCACTTTGTAAGAACGATTACATAAATGCATCGATTATTTATGCTCAGGTTTATAGAAAGTCGGTCTTTTGAGTTATCCGTTTTCCATTTCAAGGAAAAACTTCTTCTCTTCAGTGCTATTCCTAAGCATCATGTTCCTTACTCTTCCTCTTTCGAAGCTGTTCAAAGTGTATACGCATGCTCTGAGTTTGATGATATTTGCATTTGCTCACTACATGTCGACAACGTATGTGAATCTTGAGCAGAATAGCAATGATGTAGAGTTAAAACTCGACACATTTGTGAAATTGGAAAGACATGGATTCCACTTTTTAGCGCAGGTTGGTGTTTCTGACAATGTATTCATAATGATACTGATGAGATAGTTGCAAAACTCGGGACCGCCGTTGTCACACCGTGGTGTGGTGGTGAACGCGTTAGCCTCCGGAAAAGGTAGTAGTGTGTTCGTTCCCCATCGCAGATACCAGCGTTGCGAACTTTTGCAAATATCTCATCATCTTTATGGTTATTTTCCATATAATGCCCTACCATTAAAGAAGAGTAGGCAATAAATAAAAACTGACGACAGAGTAATTTTCCGTATTCGTCATGTTATAGACGTTGCTTTCTAGCTGATGCTCAGCGTAGTTCAAAGCTGTGTTCTTGGTCTGGAGAGTGATCTAGGGAGAGCGCTTCTCACGGTTTTCACGCTCCCCATTGTGGCTCGGATGTCAGGTTTTCCTTTGGAGAAACTGATAATAGGTAAAATAAAGGTTTATCTCTTTCTTTGCTTCTACGGCGAGACTAAAAGATATTTCAGCTCACAATATTGCGTGTTCATTGGTGATGTTGTTCATCTGTATCTATGTGCTTAATCGAGTACCGGATATGGTTCATGGAATGCGCATAGCGTTTCGCCAGGTCAAAGCCATTTTCGTCGTTCGTGGTCTGGCAGGCGGTATGTCATTCGTGGCACTGTATAGAAACAGATGAATGTCCTTTACTTGCGTTCTGTGTCCCTTATTAATGGAATGGCTCTTCTGGTTTTTCCGTGCAGTCCTATAGGTTTTTTGTTTAATCTGGCTCTTAATCTGCTTTAGAAATTGGGAAAGGTGCGCAATTTTGAGCAAATAGTTTAAAATGTAAACTGTTGCATGTCTGTTCCATTTGATGCACTGAGAAGTGCCCCAATAGCCAGCGATTGAACACCTTCCCCACCCATATTACACCGTTTTTTCTTTCACGATTTTGTACATTTTTTCATGATTTCTTCTTATACTATTTTTTCATAGGATCTCCACATTAATAAAAGGGTAAGGAATAAAGCTCTTGACGTTGATCAATCCCTGAGGTATGCGCCATGCATTCGATTTCATTAAGCGTCGTTGAAGGTGATTGAGTACATATCTGGCCTTTACAATGACTCGCGGTATCCTATCGATGTATCGAACCAGTAGTGCTATCCTTCCAAACTAGTCTGGTACCAATTTGCCGATGTCGGGCGAATGGAAAAGTTGGTGAGCCTTGGGCGCAGGGATCCCATGTGTATTTCAGCGCGCCTCCGACAATTCCCGCATTAAAAAGAATAAAATTTCTTTCGAATTAAATAGAATAGGCACAAAAGTGATGTGGAAAAAGCGCGTCGGTTTTCTGATTAAGGAAGTTTTAAAAAGTGTTTGATGGTCAATGTGTTACCACAAATAATGTTGTTCACTTTCCTTTGTCTGTTTAGGTTTTGTAACTATTTGGCGAAGGTTGCGTATCGCAGAACTTATGACATGTGCTTGGTTGACTATGTTTACTATTCGACTGTACGTCGAGATTTGGGAGAAGGTAATGGATAAATTCCGGTTTGCTTCTTTGTATTCAGTACTTCTCAGTGCCTTGTTCTAGGGCTGCACATGGCGTGAAGCAGGACCGGCATTACTTGCCAGCATTGCGGAAAGCACTAACACTCCTATATCACTACTTTCTCTTGCATTAACTGTTTCATTCGTTTGTAAATGGGTTGTTGATGGTACGCAGTTGGTTATTGGTGGCCGACGTGATCATGGGCATGTTCTTGCCCACTCAGGGTTAGTAAACAGAGTGACAGTTTTAGATTCCTTATATTTTTAGAGAATATATTGGTTTAACTCCAATTTAAAAAATTGTTATCTGGACTGTTGTCGGTTACAGGTACACGGAAGCGCTGACCCTCGTTTTGTTATGTCTCCAAACAGGCTTACTAGGCATGAAAACCGAGAAGAAGGCATTCTTGCTTGGTCTTGTACTGTTTATAGGTTTGTAATATTTCTTATCTTGAAAGACTTATCATGGCCTACAGAGATTTCATATTTTTTGCTCTCAGTCAGTTTTGCCCTACTTTTCTTTTTCCAGTAATGTCTGCACTTCTACAGTCGTTGTATGAGCTTCTCGAACCGCAACTTTTATCACTGGCCGCTTTGCCGTCTGCATCGCGTGGACGACACATTCGTTGTCTTTTACTTGCTGCTAATCTATTTGTCGCTCCAATCATAATGGCATGTGCCATAACTACTTTTCTTCCTATTGATTTATGGTACGTTTTAGTACTTAATACTATTTCTGTATAATCACCTTTTTTGTTTACTGCCTATTCTTTTTACATGGCAGGCTAAATTATGAAGCATAGCCGCAGTAGTGCTGAGATATTTTCAAAATTCCGGACCGCAGGTGTCTGCGGTGTGGATCGAACCCGTTACTACCCTTTCCGGTTGCCAACGTGTTCACCACCACACCATGCGAGTCCTTCGTTTGGCCTTTCTCCAAGAAATGTTATTGACCTGTTGCTGGTATCAGCAGTCACCTGTCAATGGGGTTGATCTGAGGAGCACAAGTCGTCATTGAACCCAGTTAAGCTGAAGCCGTGGTATAAACACAATGTCGTCACTTTTTATTTACTGCCTAGTATTTTTTAGTGGCAGGGTTTGATATGAAACATAACCGCAATAGTGCTGAGATATTTCAAAACTGCGAACCACTGTTTTCCTTTCCGGTGGCTAGCGTGTTCAACACACCATGCGGGTCCTTCGGTTCGTCTTCCTCTAAGCAGTGTTTTATATATGCTGTTAGCAATCGCCTGTCATCGAGACTCATTTTTATGTTTAAAGGCATAGATGTTTGCAATTGGTTTGTCTTTTTTTCAAAGCTGGTCTGAAGTTTGGGGTTGCAATTGGATATCAGCTAAATTGCCATCTTAAGCAACCGTTACCTAAGAATATTATAGGTGTGTTATTATTGTCTCCAACTGTGTCCTGACAACCATTCACGCCGCTTCTTCAACTGTCCAGTATGCTATTGGGATGATTGACGTCCGTTATTTGTTCATATCTTCGATATCTTCGTATTCTGTAGATTCCACTGCTGATTCCTGGTTTTTTCAGTCTCGTTCATCGGAGCCGTGGGAACATACTGACGATCTCATGTTCTGGACACGCATGGTGACGAAAATATTTGAATTGTCCATAGCGCTCATAGTACTCGTGTATGGGATTGTATTTACCTTGCCAGGTAGGTTTTCAAATTGCGATCGATGTGCTGGAAACCTGTCCTGCATTTTAATACGTCTTATTGGTTTTCTTTTTTGAACTATTCGTTGTGATTTAGGCAGTTGGACTTTGGCTACTGTAGCAGTACTTGTCTTCCACGTGATATTCAACATTTATAGAAGGTGCGAAGTAGTCAGTGTTTTAGTACTTAGTAGTTTAGCTACTGCGAATTTGTAGTTTTAGAATGGAGACACTGTTACTATCGTTAACATATCGACAAACTGCTATGAATAAAGTCAACCGTTTGCCTCGTGCGAGTAAAGAGGAATTAAAAGGTACAGTGACGAAATACTTACTAGTTTCGTGCTGAAGTATTCTGCCTTTTTCTTCTTAATGGCAGGGTATGTTGTGAAATATAACTCGTATGAAGTGCTGAGATATTTGCAAAACTCCGGACCACAGGTGTATGCAGTGGGGAACGAACACGCACTGTTGTCCTTACCGGGGAGCAGCGCACTTCACCACTACACCATCCACACCACGACCCGGATGGTGTAGTGGTGAAGTGCGCTGCTCCCCGGTAAGGACAACAGTGCGTGTTCGTTCCCCACTGCATACACCTGTGGTCCGGAGTTTTGCAAATATCTCAGCACTTTATACGAGTTATTCTGCCTTTGTTAAACAATGTATTTCAATGTACTGGCAGCTGATTTAATAGGGCTTTAAGCTTCGTGATTACATAGTAGATAACCTATGAAGTACTGATATGTTTTGTACCTCTACCAGGGCTAAGTAGAGCTCCTTAGAAAACTCGGCCTATCCTTTATCCGTCAGTAATTTGCGCTCGGATGTAACTGTTTTCTTTTTATTTTTTGATGGCACTGGTAGATTGAAAACTAGCTGAGAAAAGGCGAAACGAATGGTCTGCATAGTGTGATGGTGAACGCGTTAGCCCCCGGAAAAAGTAATGTAATGTTTGGTCCCCACCGCAGCCACCTGCGGTCTGGAGTTTTGCAAATATCTCGACATCAAGCTGATTGTATTCTTCCTCTTTTAAGAGTATGTTTCTAAGGCATTTACTAAACTATTAGTAACAGCTGTCTTGAGTAAGGCCCTTATCGTGCGTTTCCTTTTTCTTTCTATCACATCTACACCATTCGTTGTCATTTGATAAAACCAGTTCATCATAGATCGTAATGACGTTTGTGCAATATGCTTTATGGAAATGTGGGAGGAGGCTCGAGTAACACCGTGTAAGCACTTTTTCCACGGCGCCTGCTTGAGGAAATGGCTTTATATCAAACAGGTGCGAAATTTGTCAAGTAGTTTTCTTTTAAGCTTTAATACCATACTACAACGTATGAGTAACAGGTCGTTGTTATACATCCTTCATTCTTTTTTAGGTTTGCCCCCTGTGTTATTCAGAATTACTCGAATCTGAGCGTGAGCTGAACTCGAACATAGTTGAAGAAGTTGGGCGGGATTTGTCTCCTGAACGTGAAAGAGTAAGAACAAGAAATACACAATGGAGAGAGCTGCGTGGAATGGAAGGTGCTCATGATATGTGGCCACTTATGGAACAGTGAGCGTACTTTTCTTGTATTATGAAGTAATTTAAAATACTTTCTTATGTGTTCGTTCACTTTGGTCATCTGTAGCTTCGATAATCGTCCAGTAACTTTTCCTTGCGCTAGTGAAAATGTCATGTCGCGCACAGGCCATCCCATCATTCTTCTTTCGAAATATTCGAAGAGGATTGCATTTATCGTGTCAATACTTTTACCGCACATTATGGGCGGCAATTCGATCATGATTTGTGGCTGGCTTTATTCGTGGGTGACGTGTCGGGCCTTCCTATCACTTTCACTTGATATTGCAAGCATTTGTTTGAATCAATGTCCGGATTATAGTGAGCATTCGCACAAATACGTCCATGCACCTATGTCTGCATATTATTATGTGTATGGAGAACTTTTTAATCTATGCATTGAGTTCGAGTGCATTCAGGACAATTATTATGTTGTTCAAAAATTAATCCCCGACTTGTAATTTTATTATTCATTTACACGTTTCAGCAACTATTTTCCTTTCGGGTTCTATATTATCACATATCACTGCAAGGCTTATTTTATGTTATGTACTTTTTTGAATGACATAATTCTAACCACAACGATGCTGAGATATTTGCAAAACTCTGGATCTCATGTGTATGTGGGGAACGAAGGCGCTATTACCCTTTCCGGGAGCTAACGCGTTCTCCACCGCTTCATGCAGTTTCTTAGATAGTTCGTTTTAGTTTTAGTTTGTGGAAAACTTTAGAGATTAGAAATTAAAATATCGGGATAGTAAATTCGACAGATTCATTTTCACGAATTCATACTCGGTTGCACAACGCAAAATGCTCCAAGTATTAGGTTAATATGGGGCAAAGAATGTATTATTGAAGCATAGAGCGACGTTGGCTTCCAAATTTTCATCATGACAAATTCAACATCGATAAACGAGGTCAGGGACGACGAAGATTTGTTAAAGGTTTCAGTCGAAGCGAATACAAACATAACTATCGAAGAGCTTGCAGAACTCGATCTGACAGTCTAAACAACTTGAAGCATATGAAGCCAATCGTAAAGTCGACAATGCTTGGCAAATAGATCCCTACGAATTTAAAACATGTCTAACTACCGAAGCATGGCCGAATTCCGCGCTTTCGCCGTTGCAAGTTTCTAACAAACTGAGCTAAGAAAATATGTATTCTTTCTTTGATGAGCTTACACGAGGTTGATAATGATGTTTATTTTCGGCTAACGTTTCGACGTCTTCGTCTTCCTCAGAGCCGATGATCCGAGTCGATGGTCCTCGCTTGTTATTCGCCTCGACGTGGCAGCTTCACCTTCGTGTCGAGTTACGTGTTATCGTATTGTTTCGTGTATAAAAGGGCAACACTGAGTAAGGACGCCTCATTCGAGGAGATGGCTCACTGAAGAACACGTAACTCGACACAAAGGTGAAGCTGCCACGTCGAGGCGAATAACAAGCGAGGACCATCGACTCGGATCATCGGCTCTGAGGAAGACGAAGACGTCGAAACGTTAGCCGAAAATAAACGTCATTATCAACCTCGTGTAAGCTCATCAAAGAAAGAATATATATTGATTAGTGATACCGAGGTTCAGGGAAAGTCGGTTTCGAAATATTACTGAGCTAAGAAACTCTACAAAGCATATCTGCAACTAATTGTGCGAGAAATGCTTCAGGAAAAGTCGACGTCGAAACTACCTTCTGCGATTTTATTGCATCCGGAACAACAGAGTTTTGTGCGGCTGAAGTAAATCAGCTTAATTTTGTTAAAAAACTTACAGCTTCTAGTCGTTCTTATTCTGATCTACAAAATCTTTTCTGAATTGAGATATTCGTTTTTAAAAATACGGAATTGAAAGATGATGAAGGAAGCCGGAAGAAGGGTAAAAATGTAGAGATGACTTTTAAATATGTGAAACAATGCATTAATTTCTGAACAACATTATATACAGTCATTGTGGTCTGTCCTTAACCAGCATTTATACATATATATATATATATATATATATATGTTTTATTTATATGCATATGTGTAGACATAATAATGTACGTATACCTTTCTTTGCATACAAGCATATATATATATTTATGTATATATATATATATTCTTTATTCTCCACCTGGCGAATCCGCACGTTGTCTCGCAACTAACCAGCTTAAGGTGCCTTATGTAACATAGATCCATTGGATATGGTTATTATTACTCAGTTTTCAAGTTATAGAGTATATGACGATGATGGCGAATCAGAGACCAATTCATCATCAGCAACTGAATACACCTTGGGAAGTACAGATGACGACTAATTGGAACATACATTATCATAGCTCCTTGTCAAGTTTTTCTGGACATTCCAAGTGAGAGGCCATAAAACTCTGGTATCTTTTTTGTGATTTCTTTTCTAATCTTTGGAAGTGCGAACACGTTTTCTAAAACGTTGTGTTCTATTTAACACGGGCTAGTTGTTCCAGTACCATGTTTCAATGTTCTGTTCTGTACTATTTTCCTTTTTAGATGTTTACTTCCCAAAATTTTTCACACGATATCTCTTTAAGACGCCTTTGAAGTCCTACATGTGGAGATATCTACCTTCTTATCCTTATTATATGTGTACGCATTTATTGCTGTTATCTGTTAATATTTGGAATGAAAACAAAGTTACTTGTGTAGACCTTAGTAAGTTTGAGGGACATTTCTCACAGTGTTCTTTCGGTACTATATGTATACATAAATTTCTTTATTGTTATTGCGGTCTTTTCTTAATGGGTTTGTATCCATAGTTTTCTTATTGACCTTTCGCGTTTGATCAGAACACTTATTTATGTCTTACGTGTTGTTAAGAATGACTTCATTTTCTGTGTCACCAATGATGCGCTTGGTTCAAGCTGTAGCAGTGCAGAGGTTTTCATGTCGTAACTCAGCAGAAATGTGCCCATCTCGACCTTCAAGAGCCAGCCGTAAGTTGAGTGGATTGAAGAAGAGAATGGAAGAGCTGAAACATATACCGGATTTCCCGTAGGGCATTTTAATTGCTATTCTGTTGCCTAACTTCATCTAAGAACATCATAGGTTGATTTATCCTGATTTTCTTCAATCGCCAGTATGGAATCGTCGTAATAAATTGAAGGAAGAGCTTGAGCACCAAGATATGCTTGAGCGTCGTATGAATATAGATATACCGGAATTTTATGTCGGTATGTTCTCCACTGTGATGAATGCCTATCGTTTTACAATATTGTAACTTTTCTGTGAGGTTTACTGCCATCTATGGATCTGCTTTAATGTATATTTTTTTCTTTTGTTTTTATCTTCTCGTTATTTTTTGATTCGGAATAGGTCACACGTCATTGATTATGGAGTGGTTTTTCGTAGGGTAAGATTGTTCCATCTTTACTACAAACAATTCTTTCCAACTATTTCGAACTTCCTACCAACGATTACGCCTCATCGTGGCTGGAAGGTGTTCTAGGTGTTGAGCTTATACAGGGTGAGGATTCATCACCACGGCAGGACCTCCCAGGAGCTGAACAACCTGGCGTTTCAATTAAGAAGCCCAGCTAAGGGTAAACCAATACCAAGATCCACCATCATCCTAGTGTCAAAGTAGTCGCATGGTAACAAATCTCCCTGTGATCCAGAAGGGTGGCGACTGACTGTAATGGTGACGACTTGGGACAAACTTTGGCTAAGCTGATCTTGGGACACCAGGGAACCACGGTGGTTAAACCAGTAAAACTCCGAGAAGTGGAAATTTTACTGGGCCCCGCACAACTAGTGAGGATGGCCCATCCAAGTATTTCCAACTTCATTGCATTACATTTTTACAATTTAATGAGATCGTAGTGAGCAAATTTGAGTTGTAGAAGTGCACTATTTTCCAACCTTAGCGTTTTAGATTGTAGGTTCTATCCTTGCGGTAACCACTTCAGAGAAGTATCTTGGTAGTAAAGAACATCGTTTCGTTGGAATTTGCATTCGTAGAGAAAAAGAAGGTCTTCATCATCAGTTTACGCTTCGAAATGTTATTGAAGGAATTGGTAATAACAGATAGTTTCTTTCTTTTGTGAGGGAATGTTCTTAATATTGTTGTTACAGGTGTTGAAGTTATGTACGACCTATACAATCCTACGATTAGAAAAATTGAAACACTGAAATTAGAGAAGAGATTAGACAGAGATCTGAGTTACTTGGCCGATGCACTGCCCGAGTACAGCACGTTCGACTTTCACATGGAGCCAACTTCGCATCCAGCCGGCGCACCTGTTCCCATCAACCCAATTAAGGTCGGAGTTATTTTCTTTCCCTGACTTCTTCTAGATAGAATGGACAAACTTGCTGGACAGAGATGAATGGTTTTACGATGTTCCCTCTTTGTTTGCTGTCTACTAAAATTTTTCATGGCAGGATATCATGTGGAATGCAACCACAATGATGCTGAGATATTCGCAAAACTCCGGACCGCAGGTGTTTGCAGGAGCTGCTTCCCAGATCATTCTCGTCGACGGGTGATTGCTGGTGGCACTAGTCGATAGAAAACTAGGCGAGATACAGGTTAAACGATGGACGTGCATGGTGTGGTGGTGAACGTGTTACTCCCCGGAAAGGACAATAGCGCCTTCGTTCCCACCATAGACACCTGCGGTCCGGAGTTTGCAAAAATCTCATTGTTTCTCAGTTTCAGATATTTTGTATGCTTTCTATGGGCACGCATATTTTTGCTTGAAGAAATTATTATTATTGACTGATCATTTTATCTTAGAGGAATGTTTAATATTGCGCTTATCAATGTGCTAGTATACTTAGTTTCCATCTGTCACATGTAGTCCTGATATTTCTTACCAGTCGTGTGCGTAATTTCCCGAAATCGTGTTTAGGTCAAGTTACAACCACCACCATGGTCACGTCGATGGGAGCTGTATGACTATAAAGGTATAGATGGTGCTTGGGCGGGGGCAACTCCATACTTCAAACGGAAATTCCACAAGACTAAGGTATTGTGAAGTTGCCTATCTTAAAATTTTCCGATAAGTTTAGATAACAGTTTGCTATCTCGAAGTATGCTTGGTCGTGTTATTAATGGCCGCTCAAAAACGTTGGATTCGCATCGAGATTTTGATTTAGATGTGAAAAAAAAGAAGTGGCTACGGTCTTACGGTCTTGAAATATTTTGCAGAGTGATGGTTTTCTTGACTTTTTAATTCTTAGTTAGTCATGAATTAATAATCATATATGAAATAGGGCGCTTGTGGCGCACTGGCCGGAGGCGCCCTGCAATACACTTGGGATCGATCCCCACGCCTCAAGCCAACCAACCCTTCCATCCCTCCGGGGTCAACAAATTGATAATAGAGTTGTTCGGGAGAATAGCCACTGACTCGACACATCGGTAGGCCACCCTGAGTTATTGTAGAGGCCAGATGTGCATACAATCACCCACAAGCTATGCCTAATGAAGTCGAATGCATGGCGCAATCCTCAGGGTTTGATCAATGTCGAAAGCTTTATCGTTGTTATTCTTTTTTTTTTCTTCATGGAATGAGCCGTCAAATATCCGTTGTGAGTAGTCGAAATTAAAAAGGGAGCAACTTACCATCAATTTAGTAGGGCTGTTCTTTTCCTCCCAATTATTCTTAGATTTTCCATACATGTTTTTTTGTGTAAATTAGTATATATTGGGGTTCTGGAATAATTCCATTCAAAAACTTGAAAATTTGCACTTATGTATTGACATGCCATCAGTAACGAAAGAAAGGTTCTGTAGATATCTTCAGTGAAATAATGGGAACAAGGATAGGCCTGTTTGCCCTATGAAAACTATTCGAGTGAACCGTCACCTGATTTCTATTCGTATTTAGAGTGTTTCTTGTGTAACTTTTAATTGGTGTGTGAGTTAAATATACATTGAAAAGAGTATCCATATTATTTTGTTTAGATGAACGACTATCTTCGCTATGACTTGATTGCTGACTATCGAGTTAGTTCGGATTTAGAGCACGAGTTAAATGTGGAGGAGAAGATGCAAAAGTTTGAGAAAGAGCGACACGAAGCTGGGCTCACCCGCCGTCGCATATTTCGAAGTGCAGCTGCCTTAAATAGACCATCTTCACAAATTTTGGACGTCAGCATAGATTCTTAGTGAGATGAAAAGTCATTTGTTAAAGTGCTTGCCATAGAATATTCTTTGTAAATATTGTTAAGGTGGGTATGTAGATGAAATGCTTTCAATTTTAATCATCTTGTTCACATTTTAGAGTTGTCATTTTGATTTTGCTTAGAAGTAAATCACTCCTGAATAAACAACACGTGTTGTAGAATGAGCTTATTGCTTCTTTTCATGACACCAATTGGAAACTGTCAGAACTGTGTTGGTGTTTTGGCGAATGCGTTGACAACATGCACTTTAAGTATTTATTCCTTTCCGCAGTGAATGACGAGGGAACGAAAGGATTATTTCGGCACAGACGACATAGTAGTCGTCTGGTTTTCATCTGTGGAAATACTGCCCGCCATGAAGCGTTTGTATCAGTCAAACGGTAAAGGGCCCGGTTAGTGCATTTGTATTGGTGCCGTTCAAACTGCGAAAAGACGTAGATGTACCAAGGAAAAGGTTAAGGGAGTCCCACATCCTTTCAGCGACAGTGAGATGGTGTCAGACTTATTTAGGAGGGATTAACTCCCTGCCGACAATCTATTCGGAAGGTGTGAGAACGCTTTAGCACAGCTATGCTAAGATTTCAGGACGAATCTACTCAAGCAGCAATCAACAAGATTGATGAAAAAGCCAAAGAATCCTCAAGTATCAACCGAAGCTACACGGGGAATTCGAAAGTCGTGGAACATGCAAAGTGTGTCGAATCGTGTCTAAAAAACAGTTTCATATCCAATGGGAGCAATATTGGTGTACCACAAATGTTTTCGGAGTTGTAACTCATAATTCATCGCATTGAAGTCGAAACCTATGAATGAGTGTCATGAGTGGAATGGTTATCCATGTAGCGGAATGGTTTGCTAGATCCCACGTAAAATCTTTCCATGGATTATTCGTTAATGTGATTACAATTACGTATGCATTGTTTTTTTTTCATACTATTATGTAAATATTATGCAAACAGTGGAGTGGATAGCGGAGTGGTTTAGTGGTGCAGTATATAGAGAAGTAGGACTGTGATTCAATCCTCTCACAACAATTCCTTCAAACCACGCCGGATCGTTTTACCTTTGCTATCTCCATTACTGCAATTTTACGGCATCCATTAAAAAGACGAAATTCTCAAGCAGTAGCCGAAACTTGGATAATTGGACTGCCCATCCCCACTGGTTGTGCAGACTCCGGCACAACCTCCATTTTTTGGAGTTTTGCTCTTTTGGCCATTGTGTTTCCTTGGAGTCCCGAGCTCAGGCTGGCCAAAGTCTGCCCTAGGTCGCCACCACTACAGGCAGTTGCCGCCCTTGTGGATCAGAGGGAGATTTGCCACGATGCGACTAACTTGATACTAGGGCGGTGGCGGAGCCTCGTATTGGTTTACTCTTAGCTGGGCTTTCTGGCGGAAACGTCGGACTTCTTCTCAACATGGGAGACCCTGCCGGGGGTAGTGGGGAGGAGGGGAAGAGGTGGGAGGGGTAAATCCCCAGCTGCACATCGCAGCCCGACACCCAGAAATAGCTCCCAGCCATGATGAGGCGGTAAACCGTTGGAAAGCGATCTAAAATATACAAAAATAAAAGCACAATTTATACTAAACTCCCATCTGATGATGTCCACTTGCAGTATTATTCTCAACAGCACGACTTTGTGAAACATACGGATGGCACTTTTGCAAGACGGCGGATCTCCTTCTACATAAATCTCCTAACAATGCAAAGGTTTCACAGTCCGAAAATCGATTTTTTTTCCTTCAATAAGCAGACACGAGGTTGTTATTATAGGATTTATTAGGATACAATAGCTGACGTTTCGGCGGTTTCGCCTTCTTTAGAGCCGTTTATTTGTTGTAAGTATTTAAGCTAGTTGATGGATAGCAGTCGCACAGAGTAGTACATGGGCGATAACTGTCTCGGACTTACAACAAATAGACGGCTCTGAAGAAGGCGAAACCGCCGAAACGTCAGCTATTGTATCCTAATAAATCCTATAATAACAACCTCGTGTCTGCTTATTGGAAGGAAAAAAACATCGAATTATCAATCAATGCCGAGGTTAAAAGAAAGTCGGTCATGCGAAAAGCGATTATTAAGTGAACACTTCTTCGATTTCACCGAACTCAAAAACACAACCCCAGCAATTTCGCAACGAATGACACATTTCCTATTCAAATAGACGCCGCGTATTGTACATGTGAATAGCTTCTCGAGTTACACAGCTCACAGCGCTGCTCAGTTAGTGAAGTTGGTGCTTGGCCACTGTGTCGTATGGTATTAAGGCTACTACGGGTTTATAAACCCGTTACTGATTTACAGACATATCATTTACATCGCACGTGGAGTACAACTAGGTCGGTGTTATACGGTAAATTTTCTCAATCCTTAAGTCGATCTGAGGAACGTATGTGGAGAATAAGTGCCTTAGAGTGTGAAGTCTCAAAAGAGTTTGAGGCAGCAATCGTAGCCGAAATAACACACCAAATGTTCGAAGACCTTTCTGGACGACGAAAACGAATCGACTGCAAGAAGTGCTGGGGTCTGCACAGTAAATGTGGTGATAGATCATTTAGATATTTTTGCTATTTATTTATCTGATTTTATACAACCCGTCCTTCACATCAACTGCGTGGATCCCATCACTTCTCGCACCCGATTCGTTCACACACCTCCGTCATCCGCTAAGGCTCCAAGTTTTACATGTGGCTTCGGCTGATTCTTCACTACATTCTCTTCAACCTGAATGATGTAGCATGCTCATCGAGTTGTTTACCCCTGGAGTCCTTAGACAGCCAGGCTGGAGCGTTCACTTGGACTGAATGAGTGATTTTTTACCGGGCATTCCAGTTCCAATTTCCTGACCCTGAGGGATGAAATGAGCTCGGGACGTGGGCGAACCAGCACCGTGCTGGTTATGATCGGTCATGATCATGTAAATGGTGGAAAAAATATGTAAGGAGCGTGATAAAAAGTAGTCTCTAGCTAGCGGTCGTTACTATTTGATGTAGTCGTGAATTGAAAGCGCATGTGTAACACCAGTAAGTTATCATATAGGGCATGAACATTGTAGCTAACATGATCTTCCGATGCTCCATCCTATTATGTTTTCTATTAGCAGTCTGTAATCGATTAATTGGGAATTGGTTTAGGAGGAGCAGAGCACTAGTGTTGATCATAGGCTTCATTGAAAGTCAATGTGTATATCCCGTTTAGCATCCACTAGCGTTACCGTTTTGCAGAATGAGAGAAAAGGTCACAAAGGTAGTAATGTACATCAAAAAGGATAAAAAGAATAAACCTCTCGGGGTTCATCAATCCTTGAGGAATGCGCCTTGCACTCGACTTCACTGCGCATCGTTGGAGGTGACTGAGTGCATACCTGGCCTTTATAATGGTATGACTCGTGGTGCCCTGCCGATGTATAGAGCCAGTGCTGCTATCCTCCTAGACAAGTCTGGTACCAATTTGCCGACCCTGGAGAGATGGAAGGCTTGGTGAGCCTTGGACACGGAGATCGTTCCCATTTGTATTGCGGGACCCCTCCGACCACTGCGCTACACGCGCCCTAAATGTAAGTCGAGGAGTTATAACTGTCAACGGTTGCGAATCAGTATTTCCTGTTATTAGTTTTTTCAACATCACATGTTCCCACTGCTTAGATCCCAGCACTTCTTAAATTCGTTTCGGTTCTTTGCATTTACCATAAAAGCCTTCGACGTCCTGGAGTGTTGGCCGCTGCTTAAGCATTTTCACCTTCCTTATGAATGCTGTTGAATACTACTCGAGTCGATTCTGCCTAGAATCCTGAAGTATCCATATTAAGACGTTCCACATGGATTAGAAGAAGTCAGCTTATGTCAAGTAAGTCTGTTATCAATTTTCCTGACCTCGGGGGATGACAGGTCGAGTGGACTCTGAATAGGGTCGAACCAGGGCTTGGGTGGGTTGGATGGGCTGGGCCTTCTGTATGGGGGCGGGATCACTACCATCGTGCCCAGTTGTAAATTAGTTGAAATTATTGCGTAAGACAACTTGTTATCATGCGATCTAGCAGAACGTTCTAGAAATCCGTAGCGACCTATACATTTACATGTCCTGAATCACAATTCGATTTGTGTCATCACATCAACAGAAATCCTCGCTAGGATCTCTTTTTCAGATGAAAATCGAGGAAGAAGGGCATTGGCCGCTAAACGGTCAGATCACCACTTAGTGATTTCGACTTTATCTACTCAATCTTTTAGGCCATAAGGTTTCGTGGTTATGATTTCAGGGATCTGATGACCCACTGGAGCTTATTTTCTCCTCCTATTTCTCCCTCTCTCTCTCTCTCTCTCACTCCTACCACATCCGTCTGTCTGTTTGTATGCGTGTGTAGCCGGGGCCGGTCCGCCGCTCCTTTGGCATCTCCTCGCAAGTTGCTCTACGTCACTGCCATCCTTAGTGACTCTTACCATCTGCGCTCTGTCCCTCGTTTATCCCGCACTACAATCAGCTGTCTCTCGGTCTGTACGCATCACCGTGGATGTATTTTTGTGAATTTTCTTCTTCTTCGGATGAAATATACGCTTTTTTCCTCCTACTTTCACTATTGGCTTGTTGACAAGAATCAGTAGCACATCAAATGGTGGCTTTTTAATTGAGAAGTATAAACACTCTACACAACATCTGGCAATCGAAGTCGAGTCGGTGATGCTGAAGATAGCGGTCGGTGAGCTTACGTTTATCGATTAGTGTGCGTCTTTAACGAGATATCCCTTAAGTGATTTATCTCTACTAAGTAGTGTCGATTCACATGTGTAAACTCAGGAATTTGTCAAAGTGACAGTGTCTTTTCTCGGACAGAGGGCTAAGTGGTAATTCGAGACTGAAATAGATCCTTAAGGTTCTTATGGTTTTAGGAAGCGGTGCAAAGTAACCTCGCCTGTCATTTTTGGGTTGAAGCCATTTCTTTAGACTTTTTCAGAACGTCTTCTCTAATTTTGCGTTTGAAAAGAT